GTCAACGGGGAAATACGCTGGAGTGTCTGTCCATCGGGGAAGTACCCGGCGGAATTGAGAGACCGGGGGCCAGATTATAAAATAATAAAGTGAGGTTTGGGCCTGAGTGTAATTTCGTGAGTGAATAGAATGAGTGAATAGTAGAGTGAGAAAGATTGAGTGGAAAATAGAATGAGAAGGAATGAGTGTGAACGTGAGTGAGAAAGACGAGGATAACAGAGGACACTTTTAGCATTTAAGGACGAGCAAATGATTAGGGGAGTTAGTTGTTAGCCGGAGTTCGTAGTGTCGGGTTAAGACTTGTATATTTATGTACTTGAATATTTAACTTGCTTTTCTATGAATAAATCGTATCATATCTTTTATTAAAATTACTGTCATGAATCCTACACTTATCGCGCTCGTTTTCCGTTCAAACGAATGATTAGTCCTCCTTCGTTTCAGAAACAAATCGATCAGATCATTACAAACTACAACCCGAGGATTGCGCTCGAAATACTTGGATTAGGAATAAAGAATTATGACGACTTTCTTGAATTTGCTGACGTACGTGGCAACGTCTTTGAACAAGTCGCCGATCAGAACGGGGGAGGTTCACTAGGAAGAAAGTCGACTTTAACTGTATTCAAGATGAGAAACTCGAGACCGGAGACGAAATCGGTTCGATAGGCAATGAAGAGTCAGACGAAGAACATACTACCGAATTAAACGCTTTAGAGGTAAAACAACGATCGTTTTACAAACAATCGAAAAACCAAGATTCGAAAATGATGATACGAACAAGGTTGGAAGAAAATCTCGCGAATTTCGAGCAGAAAAATGAAGAAGGCAATGGGCCGCCTGCCCAACACGATTTGAAAGGAAGGAAAAGATTCGATTCTTCCAGAGATTAGTCGAAGGTTTTCTGTTTCAATTGCGGACAAAGGGGACACTCTTCGCGCTATTGTACTGCCGATAGGCAGGAGGTGTGTCACATTTGCCAGCAAATAGGTCATGTAAATAAAAATTGTAGTAAGCTTTCAGGAAACGAGAAAAGCTCTCAGTGAAGTCGCCTCCGGTCACTGAAATAAAGAGCAAAACGGAGGAAAAGAAGGTCGATCGTGCTGCGTAGACGAAACACATATCAATAAATGAAGTAAAGACACTCCAAAATCCGCCGGTCAAAGTCGAATCGCCGTCGTTGCTATACCTGGGGGACGATAAACTTGAAGGTGGAGAATATATTTTACTTGATGTCGATGAAGATAGCTCAGATGAATGTGAACTTTCCGAATTCGAGGAAGTTGAGCCTATAGTTCAAGACGACACTGATGATAGAGTGACGAGCTTATCGATAATTTCCAGTAATAAACCGTCAAATCGCATCGAGTCACAGAAAGCGGAAGAAAATGTTACACCTTTAAAAGACTGGAGACCGAAAAATCACCCCTCACATTTAATTCATCGTCTATCCCAACGACGTATTTATCGAAACGAGAGTGGAAGTAGAGAACCAACCAATTTAGTTGAAGGCGAGGTAACAATTTCGATTTTCGGTCATCAATTATAAGGCATAATAGATGGCGGTAGCGAACGGACATATGAGTCCCGAAGCTTTTGAAGGGGTGAAAACTCTAAAAGTCAAGGACGTTACTCCAAATTCGACTTCGACCAAGGGAATTTGTTTGGGCGATAGTTCAGTGGTTAAAAGCGATGGTGGTACTTGTTTTGTTATCGATATTGGAGATGTTTACGGACCGCAGTGGTGTAGCATTCTTCCAGGTGCATCGAGCGACATTATCCTGGGAATTGATTTTATTTTAGCATTCAAAGTGTATCTGGATCCTGTCGAAAGAGTATGGACCCTGACGGGAAGCGAATATAAGTATCCGCGATCCCATCGATTCATTTTTCCAACCCAATTAAAGTCACTGTCGATTAATCACAAACAAACCTTGAAGAAATTCCTAGATCGAGAATTTGTGAAATTTGAAGAGGAATGCACGGGTGTTACCATTCTAATTAAACATAAAATTTAATTAGAGGATAGAGAACCCCATCGACAGAAACCTTATCGACGTAGTGAGGCTATTCGCGCATTCATTTTTGAGGAAGTCGATACTTAGAAAAGGGTTATATTAATTGGGTAAGTTCACCAGTAGTATCTCCTAAAGCTAATGGTAAATGACGCTTTTGCATCGATTATAGAGTCCTTAATCGAAAGAGGAATAAGCCAGCATACTCTCTACCACAAATGGATTCGATTTTGTCGCAATTGTACCAGGCGAAAATTATTTCTACTCTGGATATGAGCGAGGCTTCCCACCAAATTCCAATTGACAAGGAAAGTAGAAAGTACGCTGCTTTTGTTGTCGAGGGTAAACGCTTACTAGAATGAACCCGAAGGCCCTACGAATTAACAGGCGCGCCGTCGACATTCCAATGTCTAATGGACAAATGTCTAATGGGCAAATTAAAAGAAATAATCAGCGAGCGAAAATTACCCAATCATTGGATCGAGAAAGTTTTTGTTTACCTGAACAATTGGATTGTCGTCAGCAACAATTTAGACGAACATCTTTCGTTGTTGTCAATTTTCTTTGAGGTCTTGCGCGAAGCGAAATTAAAGATTAATCAGGAAAAGAGCAGTTTTGCTTGCCGAGAAGTAAAGTATCTCTTGGATATATTATCGATGAGCATGGGATGAGACCGAATCCGGAGAAAATTCAACCAATAATCGATTATCCAGAACCGCGAGATCGCACTCAACTTGGACAGTTCAATGGGTTAGTCAACTGGTACCATCGACATTTAAAAGATATCGCTAAAGTTCAGAAACCATTAAAAAAACTAACGAGCCCGAAGCAACCGTGGTGATGGACGGAAATTGAACGAAAAGCTTTCGATGACGTTCAACAATCTCTAATCGACACACCCCGACTGTATACGCCGATATCTGGACAACCGTTTATCCTTTATACAGACGCTAGCCACTTCAGTTTAGGCGCGATATTAGTCCAGGCCGACCCGAAAACAGGTAAAGAAATGCCTATTGAGGCATTAAGTTGACCATTGCGAGGAGCTGAATTTCACTACACGACTACAGAAAAGGAATGCCTTACGGTCGTATGGGCGGTCGACAAGTTACGTTGTTATTTAGAGGGGATGAAATTTAAAGTCGTCACTGATCACCAAGCTATGTTATGGCTCTATAACTTGAAGAATCTAGTAGGTCGACTTGCTCGTTGGGCAATTTACCTATTACACCATGATCTAATGATAGAACACAAACATCGTACGATGAATGAGACGCGAGACGCTCTTTCGCTCATGTTTGATGTCGATGTTGATCCGTTGAGATGGGAAAAGTTGTCGAAGAAACAATTAAGGGTCGAATCAAATTGAATTCGATTATCGATTAGGATTGGTACAAAACCAAATGCGATCTCGTCAAGAAAAGTCCTGGTAGATTCACAGAATGGAAGATAGAGAACGACGAATTGTATTATTACCGACCATACTATGCTAAAGCCATTCTTGACGACGAAAACCCATGGAAACGCGTGATACGGCCAGATAAGGTATTAGAAATCCTTAGGGAAAACCACGAAGAACCTCAGGCAGGACTTTTGCGGGGAGATAAAACTTTAGACCATATTCGACAGAATTATTATGGGCTAGGGATGACAGAAGACGTTGAAAGATTCGTCAACGATTGCGAGATATGTTGTAACGAGATTTTCTCGTTACGGGTTGAAATCCCCTTAAAAAAGATATGTGAACTCTTAACTTAGTGAAGAGAGATAGTTAGTGACATCTAGAGGCGGCTGAAGAAAGCCGCGACTAGATGAACTGAGCGACAAACCGATGAAAGACCTAAGGCATAGCGGTGATGGGTGAAACCGCGACCCCTGGAGGTCTGGAGGACGTTACTAGACTATCGCTATTTTGGAATTCGCCCAGCATGTGCTAGGGGAAAAGGGGCCGACGTACAGGCTGTCCAACTGGGCGATTCCATAGGCTATGTCAGAGTAGACTAGGGACCAACGGCCAGGTGAGAGGACTGGTGCCCCCGGGATCCCGTCGGGTTGATTGGTGGGGATAGGGTAACGGAATGACCTATCGTCGCTGAGATATCCAGACTAGGGGGAGAAGTCGAAAGGATTTCTCCGATATATACTGTGGTGTTGGCTTGAAAAATGGCCACGGGAATGGTGGACGAATAGCTCAGCGCAGCCAGGTGCATAACTGATGGTAGCGAGCGTAGGGGGATGCTCCTGCATCCCCCACAAACGGAAAAAAGAGTTATTTCGGAACTCTTAGTGACGACTTTGTTGTTTCCGGCGTTATCCGGCTCGGCGAAACAAATGTCGTGCGCATGGGCCCGTGGGTCTGGAGTAGAGATCGTCCTCCTGTCGACCCGACCATGTGCCGACATTCGAGTACCCGGAGACGGTGACGTGCAATGACCGAAGCGGTAACTGGTGGCCGAGAGCGTGGGTGGTCGTGAAGTGGGGAACAGTGGTCCCCTTTGGTCGGATCAGCCTCTCGGCGTCCCAGGCTCTGAGGAGTCCCGGCTGATTCGCATCTAATTCTGAAAACACTCCCGAGTCGAAATACTCGGGAGGCGAAAGCCTACTGAGAGGGTGAAAAACCCTCCAGGACGAGAGTAAATTCACTTTACATGGGGGATTAGGGCGTGAGGCTTAATGTCCAGCCTGAAACAGTGGCTGGCGACGTTTGGCATACGATACTCTTGGTGGACCTCGCCCACTCTACCGTGTCACACTGATGCTAGCTGGGCAACCCTTTTTGCCCGGCCACAGAAGTCCTCTGAGTGGACGAGTTTGCCTCAGAGGCCGGTTTTCGTCGAACCTCCCGTGAAGGTTCGGCTGGCGCCCGACTATTGAGCGATAGAGACCGCTAAAAAGTAGTTTGGATTTTTCCTAGGTGAAAAACCCGGGAAAATATCCTTACAATGTATTCGAGTAAAGGACAACCGGCATCCGATGCAAGGACCGATGACGACGAGACCGACACAAACACCGTGGTCAGAAATTGCAATCGAGATAGCCGACATGACAACTAGGTCGAAAAAAGGAAACTCTCATATTGTAGTTATTCAGGATTTGAGTACGAAATATGTCGAATTATTCCCCACTCACGATAAGAAGAGTAAAACGACAGTAAAAATCTTAGAATCGACATTTGATCGTTGGGGTACACCCCAGAGTCTAATCTCAAACAACGAGACTGAGTATTGCAATAGAGAAGTATCGAGTCTTTTAAGAGCCCGAGGGGTTAAGCACCACACGAGTCCTCTAAGTCATACCCAGGCGAATCGGGTAGAACGCGTGAATCGTAAGATAAAGCCAATGATAGCTGCGTTCATTAAGAACCACCAAAATGAATGGGATATTAATTTGTCGAAATTTCAACTAGCATATAATACAGTGTCACATGCAGGACCACAAATTTCCCCATTCTATCTCAACCACGGTCGTGAAGCTGTCGTTAAACGCGAATTAAGAACTTCCGAAGATAAATTACCCCTAGATGAAGCTCAGAAAAGTTGGGTGGACAGAATGTCAAAAATCGATGAATTTCGATACAAAATAGAGATGTTTTTAAAAAAGAAAAATGATGAACGATTAGCCAGAGAGAATAAAAATAAGTCGATTCAAGTCGAGATCAAAGTAGGTTCCGAAGTTTTCTACCAAAATAATAAAATAAGTAACAAAGCTGAGAATTACAATACCCAGTTAGCACATCGCTATTTGGGTCCGGTGGTAGTTAATAAATTATTGGGTCCAATGACTGTGGAATTCGTCGACAGACATGGTAAAAAAGTTGTAAAATACTATGTCACCGATCTGAAAATTCCCCGACATAGCTTTAGGAGAAGGAAATTTCCTTCTACAGATCAGACGACCCTGAACATCATGGGAGACAACGCGGACAAGGCCACGCTGGATCAGCAGCTGCAAAGTGGAGGACAGCCAGTCGACAAAGTACTCGAGCTCAATGACAAAGGCCTACGTGGCGACGAAGCGATGTCTGGGTAAATTATAACAAGTGAACGGCATGGCACTCTTGCCCCGGCAGAATAATAAGTTGGTTATATTTATTTGTATTGTGTGAGAATTATTAATTGTGGAAGAGTCGGCAACCGGGAGCCTTATTAAATAAAAGCGAGAATTGACGACATTAACGTGAGTAATATTATTGAAGTGTTCTTGCCTTATTTTCTCTTCTCTCTGTGTGTGTCAACTGTTATACTTTGGGTCTTCCAAGCTCCACCCCCGAGACATGCCAGGGAAACGTTGTTAGTTAACGAGAAACTAACTGGCACCCAATAAAGTAATTTATTTGTCGATTCGAATGATTAGGAGGATTTTCTTGAGCCCTGGCAGCCCTTGACCCAGGCCGCGCGAGGTGTAGGCCTTCTGCCTTTATTCATAATTGACTACTGATTTGTCTGTCGTTGTCGAATATTTATTCATTTATTTATATACAAAAAGGCCTGTCTCAATAGGAATTACTGTTCTCATAACGTTTTTGAAATATTTACACCGATACCTTTCTTAGATAGCGACTTCGTTACATATCATTTGTATACATACGGATACCTACTCCTCAAATATGTATATGAAGGTATCAATAAATACGTTTCAAAGTCTACTACAATCGAAGATACTAGATACATACAAATAATGACTTGTATTATCACCTTCCATTTTTACGTGTTCCAATCATATATTTCTATAATATCTTATTATACAGTATCAACCGATGATCTCCGACAAAAAAATTAGACACTATGTAGTTATGGTTGATTAAATTCCCCCTATACACACATTGATTAAACTTTCATTGAACATTGGTTAAACACGAACTGAAAATAGATGCAAGTCCTGAGAGGTCTAATTAGATAAATGTGTAGACTTATTTGACAGAACGAAATAATAAGCAAAAATTTGATAACATCTCAATTGATGATATGTAGTACTGTAACGTGACATTTTCGTATGGGGGTCAAAAATGTCTATTACCTTCGCCCTTCTTCCCCTTCATCTAGTTAAACTCAAAATGCAAAAAAAAATCCATGGGCGCCAGGTAATTTTTAACCTGAATTACCAAACCGGACGAATCCACAAAATCAACTCTACTAAGTCGAAAAACTAAAACGTACAAAAAAAAAGGAGGAAACTAGATTTTTGGGGAAAGGTAGCGGTCCCTGGTTCGCTCAGTGTGCTAGGTTGTGGAGAGAGCGGTGGATTTCAGGTGGAGACGGGTGTTGGGTGATTAAAACTACAAAAAAAAAGAAGAAATCGGTATTGTCCTTACTTGTTTCACTATTGAAATTAGTCAATCACCAATTTTTCAAAAAAAAAACATTTCAATTCTCTCAAAAAAAAATATATATATAAAAAAAAGGAAAAAATCTACAATTAATAGCTAACAATACTGATAATAATAATAATCATAATATTAAGTCCGCACTCTGATAGGAATTAGTCTAATCTAGCAAAAAGATTCGTAGAAATTAATATCACCGATAAATACCTCAAATATCCCGAAATAAACATTTGGGGAGAGTAGAAATACACGCTAATCCCTAAATACTCGAGAATTCCGAGAATTGGGGGGAAAGGTATGCGAGCGACAATGGGAGCGAGACAGAGGAGAACGTATTCAATCATCGATTTTTCGTACCAGCCAAAACGGCTGAAATTCCGTAAAACTCAACTTGCCATAACTCGGAAATGGCAGAGTCAAAAATTACGGACCCTGAGACAAAATGTCCGGGAGAGTCTACCGAAGACAACAATACCAAAAAAATAATTTTTCCTTAACAATTAGCCGCTCCAGGTTCATTAATCCCCGAGCGGAATTCTAAACGCTAAAAGGCTCGCGTGAAGCGAGAATAGCCACGTATAAACGTGGATGAGTATCTGAGGGGGAGTCGAGAGTCGGGGGGAATTCCCCCTCGAGAAACACGGCGTACACGCCAGCGAGAATGGGCTGGAAATCCCTAAAAACCAAAAATGGAATATCCGGAAATCGGCAGAGCGAATTTTCGGAAACCCTGAGATAAATTACTCAGGGAAGCCCCCCGAACACATTGACCCACAAACTTTAATTTTAATTAACTATCTACGCGAACCAACTCAATTCAAATACGAGTGGAATTTCTTACGCGCAAAAGCCCACGTATAACGGGGATGGACGCACTCTGGCAATTAAACGGGAGTAATTATCCCCTTGAATAACCCATCAAAAATAACGAAAACCACCCAATCATGAGTGAAAAAGGGGGGAAAATCGGCACCTCACAATTTGGATTAAGGGTCACAATCACCGTTTTACCGGAATAAAATGCGACGTACGGGGCTGAAGACCCCGTAGTCGAATAACGAAAAGCCGAAATGAATTCGGAAAAATACATAACCGAACTAAAAACTCACTTTGGGTTTCTTACCCCTCTTTGGGGTGTTCTTCGCCATCGTATAGATCCACTTATCCAAATATGTGCACACTACTTCCTAATATAGGCACTGTACTGGCACTAGTTCTGGTGGGGTCAAGGGCCAACGCCGAACTGCCGAACTCATGAGCGTCTCGGGACACCTCAGAGCACGGAATTCACCGCTCAATCACCCGAATTTTGATTGGTGCGGACACGCCCCTCGAAGGTGCGAATCTAACGACAATTAATCGCGACTCTCACGACCTGGCGCGATTATTCAAATCTCACTTAACTCTTCTCTAATTACCTAACACAAAACTAGTTCCTTTTTATTAATTGTTACGCGAGACTAGGCCGAACTGATTGTCGTTCGGATAATTACGAAGGGTCTTTGGCGCTTCCCACGGATCGGATCTCCGGGATTTTCGGGGTTAAAAGACAAGTTACCGGCACTTGTTATAACTTCACTACTAATTCCTGCTCAACTCGTTTCTCTTATCAAAAATCCGAAGGCAACCTGGCAATTCGTTGGAGGCGATGGTTGCACTCGCTCCGAACGACCTTCCACCCAAAACATAAACGTAACCAATTAACCCCTGAAAATCCAACGAAATTGGAGCGCCGGCATTTCAGCCGGACCTATTCGATTACCCGCAAGATTAACAATAGGGTGAACCCCATAAAAAGAACCGGATGGCTCTATAATGTTGGCCCTTCTTCACGATAAATTTTCTGGGCCCTCAAAGACGCGTAATTACTAGTCCTTACTAATAAACGGAACCGATAACTTTAACCGAAAATAAGCCACTCGGAAGTGGATAAGGAGCTCTCACTCTCTCGCTCTTGGATTCTTACTCACGGATTTTAATTCAACGTTGTAGGAGTCTCGCTGTTCACAGATCATTCTTAGTGTTCCTAACGAACATCCCCACATGTTCGTTACAGTACTTATGACGTGAAAAAATAAAAGAAGACAATATAGTGTAATAAGAAATTGAAAAAGAAAACTCATTCGTAAGCAAATGACTACTTTATTTGCAACAATAACTATTCATTTATTTCAAAAATGTAATTGTCCACTGATTTTGATTTCTGCGTTCATACCATGCAGGGTAACATTTTTATTTATAAATTTATTTTAAAAACAAAAATAGATATCTGAAAATTTCGAAAACGAAAAACATCCTTTTGACTGGGCTTAAACAAAGTTGTAAATTACATTGAAATGGTCGTGAGAAAATGTCAGTCCCACAAATTTCAAAAAAATCGCCTTCGGGGAAAATTGTGGACAATGGGCCTTCTTTTTGTTGAAATTCTCAAATCTGTAATTTCTGAAATTATTTGCACTCTTTTACCTTCTTGCTGTTTACGAAAAAGCCCCGGTGGTCAACATATGGACGACACTCACAACATATTGAGCTTGCATTCTTCCTAGTTACGCTTCCCTTTTTTTATGTACTTACCTTTCCCAATCCCTTTCCTTGATCAATTGCATTCAAGGAAATATTCAATGGTTTTTCGAACCAATGAACATATCTATATTAATATTTGACAATCAATCCACATAGGATACTAATCGTGGCTTTTGTTTCATTCATGTATCCTTTTAGAAGATATCAAAATGTACATCCCAAGTACGTATCAATTATTTCTCCAGACTATACATATTATCTAGTTTTAATGTTTATATGTACCATTGGATAACATATATATATGTATGAAAATTAATATCCTCATGAGAGCTTTACAATATTCATATCTATACGTCAGTAGGTTAATGGATTGCGTATCTCGTATGTGTGAATTAAATCGGAGACACGAGTACTAGTGCGCAATATTCATAACAAATAGCAACAGGTAATGTATCAAAAAAATTTGAAATTATATATTTCCAATCAGTTTGAATTTTTTATAATTTTTGAATTCAACTCAAATTTTATCGGACTTCATTTAGCAACCACTCGTTAGCTGAGCCACCATTCCTAACGTGGAGCAAAGGAATGTGTGAATCAGAAAATTGCCTTATGGATGCTATATTTGAGTTAATCCATATTTTTGCATCAAATCAAATTTTTTATTTATTTTTTATTTATTCAAATAACTGCGCTTCAGGGTCCTGCCCTATAGAAGTCGGAGTACAAAAGAATATACATAATAGACAACAAAATGAGTCTGCTTAAAGGCGCTTGGCGCAAGTGAGCTATATTGAAAAGGCCGTGGAATTAATAAAAAGAGTTTATTAAGGTAAAGGGACGAAACGAAAAAGAATCAGGGAGAAAACAACCTGAAGACAAACTAGCAAGGAAAAAATAGAATAGAAGCTAAGTTCCGAGAAGGGATTTTAAAGGGAAAAGGGAGAAAAGAAGATCAACGCGGTAGAATGTAACCGCGAGATCGATATTCGTAACACTACTCCCTCCTTTGAGAGAAAGATTGTTGTCCCGACAATCGAACAAACTTGTTAAGAGCAACGGAAATATCAGAAATCAAAAAGTTCTGAGATTTCAGTTATGGGGGGCCCTTAACCCATATTCTCTTTGAAAACCCAGACGGAAAATACAAATGAGAATAGGATTTGACTCGAGATAATTTCAA